ACCGTCCTCTATCAGCCCGACGGCGTGCCCGACGATCCATTTGCATGCGATGACGCTTCGTTTGCACGCGACCGGGTCCAGCCTTCGTGATGATCCTCTGCCAATTTGGTAGTAAGTTCCATCCGACTAGCGGCCATGTGTCTGGATCACCAATCGGAGCAAAACTCCAATTAGAAAATTGAGCCACCTAGTTCTCCGTCCAAAAGTGGGGATCGTACAATAACTTTGGTTGACCTTTTATTTGACGACACACAGCTATAGCATGAGAGCATGGTTTCTTATGTGTCTGCCACTTCTGACAACTACAATGCATCCGGTTGTACGAAACCTTATACCTGTTTTTCCACATTTAATTATATTTCTAAACAACTAAAAATTTGAATGAACCGAAATAAAAAAAATAATAACTATACAATAAATAAATAAACCGTATACCTTTTGTCGCCTCTACCATCAGCCCGTAGACCGGTTATCACCTTGTACAGGGATCTCTCTGCGTTCGAACATCGCACCTCATGAGTTGCGGCCGTAGCCTCCAATTCGCAATAAGCGGCATAGTGGGCACTAGCAATGGCATTACTGCATCTCGTGGACTTCTTTTGTTCCTGCTCAAACAAGTCCAGAGTTTTCATGAATGTGGCGTGTACCAAAGCTCGGCAGGGCAAGAACCTAACACCTTTCAGGACGTTGTTGTAACTCTCGGACATGTTGGTTGTCAAAGTACCCCATCTACGTCCTCCGTCTCCAAACAAGGTCCACTTGTCTAGAGGAATTCTGAACAGGTACTCGTATGCGTCCGGATTAAAATCCAAAAGCCGCGATCGTATCTGTTCAAATTTTTTCTCTGAAACCTGTGAACCCAACTCCCAACACCAATTTCGGATTTTGTTATTCCTGAACCTAGTAACCACGTTGCTCCGAAGGTGTCGAAGACAAATCCGGTGATATGCAGCGGGTTCTTGCCAAGCTTCCAATGATTCCACGGCACTCTGTAAGCCCGCATCCCTGTCCGAAAGAAAGCATATCTGTCTGTCGCTGACAACATGTTGCCGGAGATTTTTCAGGAAAAATGACCAGCTTTCCTGGCTCTCTTCATCGACAATCGCATAGGCAATTGGCAATAGCCGCTTATTCGCAGTCTGTGCAACGACCACGAGCAACTTCCCCTTGTACGAGCCACGCAAATGTGTGCCGTCCATGCTAATTACCGGCGGGCATCTCTGGAAGGTCTGAATGGCGGGACCAAACGCCCAGAAAACAAATTTGAATTCTTTGTGCTGATAGTGGGCCGCCATTTCCCCACCTTGCCATTCCTGCTCTTCAACCGTAGTGGGATTCGCTCTTTGAAGCGCCGCAAAAAACCTGCACGTTACAAAACGTAATCGTCAGTACATAAATATAGTGACAAATAACACGTACATTTTTAATAAATTTTTTCTTACTGAGGGAGTTCGGCGAAGTTCGATTCCCAAGTGCCATACAAACTATCGATGGCCTTTTTGCTCCCGTGCCATGCCTTCTTGTAGCTCACATCGACTTTCCAACTTTTTTTAACATCTTCCTGGATCAGGTTAACACTGTAGTCGGGCTTCTTTTGAATCTTGGTCATGACAAGATTTGAGATCATTGTGGCGGTTACATTTCTGTGGTCATTTTTTTCGACTTCTTGCAGACAACTGTGCCTCGCAGTCCATTCCGTTACTTCCCACAGTTCATGATCTCGTGTGCAGTGCGTCACCCGAGCCCTCCACGGACAAGGTTCATCTTCGTTGGACGTGCACACCACCTTGAATGATTTCTTATTCGAATAGGATGTCTTAACCTCCCTCCACCTGCTAACGTTCCAACTCATGATACCAATCTGTGCTTCTCCCTTGGACCAGAAAACAGTACCCAAACGGATAGTCTCGACATTCCCATTCCAGGTTGGCAAGGCATACTCATCCCGGTCTACACACGCCGGGTCCCACTCACCCATCTCGCGATACACGTGCTTACCGCTACTAGGAAATGGGTGTTCTTCAATAAATTCTGGTTCACTCTCTTCGTGTATTGATCTATCCGTTTTCGTTTCCGAGGTACCATCTGTGAAATCGTCTTCACCGCGAATGAAATCATGATCACTTTCTTCCTCATTATCGCATTTTCTAACTGTTGAGCTTGTCCCTTCGCCAAAATTACGAACATGCGAAGTGGACGTACCCTCAACATCAGCCACTCCACCGTAAAAAGGGGCAACATCCTCAAACTGCGTAACCTCTGTAGGTGCCTGCGTAAACTGCTTCAACTCCAAATGCAAATACACATAGGAGAAAGGAGGAAAATTATATATCCAATCAACAGCACTATTAGTATTCAGGTTTTCAATATTCCACGAACCATCGCGTTCGTCACTCAGTAAACTAATCTTCTCAATTATCCAACCATCTCGATGAAACCCAAAATTTTCATAAAGAATATCTACCAATTCTTTAAATGATAGCTTCTCCCCAATGCTAAATGAACCATCCGGAGAGTTTTTAAAATCTGAAAAATCATGTAACAACTCCTTCGGAACATTCCAATACACATTAACAAAGTATGGTCCGATAGACGCCATTTATACCTGTTGCAAAAAACAATTGTTCCCAATTACAACAACACATAATTTCTCAAAAAATTCAATTATTCTTTTACTCAAATCAAGATAAATATTTTCAATTAATACTACAATAACAAAAAAAAAATCACCAATTCTTTTATAAAATAACTCTCCAAAACCCTAATTCTCAAAATCCAACTATACAATACAAATCATCCAATTTTCGCAAAAATTCTCAACATACACCGAAATCCATCATTCAAGAACAATGTATAATCATTTAAGACAACTATTAAATCAACAATAAATCTTTTCTAAACTATACTCATCAAAACCAACAAATATTTCTTACAAATTCATAAACAAAAAAAATATGTAATTACATTACATTAAAATAACAACTAACCTCTTCTCCGAATCGATTGATTGTTAAAAGTTTTTTTTATTTTTATTTTGAGATGAAGAGAAAATGGAAGGAAGTGATTTTTTTTTTCCCTCTCGCAGAAAGAAGAAGCTGCTGTGTCGCGCAGTGGGGTGGAGGAGAAGATTTTTTTTACTTATATTTTGTTAAAAAACGTATTTTCTGAATACGGTTTTAATTTTTTATTATATTGGAAAACGTATTTACTTTATACGTTTTATTTTAATTTAATTTTTTCTTAAAAAATAATTAATATTAAAAACCGTATTAATGATATACGGTTTTTATAACCTAAATTAATAAATTTGGAATTTTCAAATTGAAATTAGGGTTTTCATAAAACGTATTTCGTAAATACGGTTTCAAATTAAAATTCGATTTACATTTTTTAGGTTATTTCGGCAATATGTTTTTCAAATAATTAAACAAATTCAATTAAAAACCGTATTCGCGGAATACGTTTTTCACTAAAAAATTTAATTAGGAAACCGTATTTTGTGAATACGTGCTTTTGATTTCGGTCTACCCTTTTTTTTTCTTTTTTTTTTTTGTCCACTTATTTTTCAAATTTAAATTACCCGGGTGGGTGGGTGACGGTGAGTTGTGCCTATAATAATTATACGTGGGTCCCACTAATTGGTATATTATTTTGAATGACAAAATTATCCTTAATAAGTGGTGAAATGTAGATATTTGACCATAATAGTTCAAATAATTACTAGATTGCCATTAGTGATTGACCATTATTTATGAAAGTTTGACTTTATCATGTCCATTGATTTGATGGATCTAATGGTGTAGATTCATTCTTATTTCTTTCACTATCTACTATTCTCACATGATCCATCTCTCTCTCTCTCTCTCTCTCTCTCTCTCTCTCTCTATATATATATATATATATATATATATATTTACTCTATTGATTCTCCTATTTTTTTGTTTTCTTTTGCAGGTGTTATTCGTCCGATATGGATGCTTATTGAAGCTTTGATTGTGCTTATGATTCAATATATGGAAGAAGAGGAAAAATAAGAGGCTCATGGTACGATGATCCTTAGACTAGATGTCGGCTATGATCCGAGGAGCCATTAAGAATGTTCGTCAAGCTTCAAGGAGACCATGCCATTTTTGTCTTACCATACGACACATCATCATTGATTGCCCACAAAGGTATGGTGCAGGTAGAGCTACCGAGAGAGATTGATATCGACAAGACGAATGAGTGCATTCAAATTTAGATAGGAACCATTACGATTGGGGTGATCGTTGAATTACTTCTATAAAAATACACAATATTCTCGATCATATGAGAATGATGAATCTCAATTTCAATATAGAGGCTCGTAATCATCGCTTGAACAAGAGACTAATCCATTGTCGGTGAAGATCTTTGAAGAGTTTCAATATGACTGGATGGCTAGTAGCAAGAAAATTGATGAAATATTAAGCGATATAGATGGTCGATCCAAGAGTCAGCTATCATATCAAGTCGAACCTAACCAAAGTGATGTCGGAGACTTGGGCTGAGCACGAAGATGGAGTTTGAGATGTTGAAAAATCATATTATTGAGCCGAATGACGATCGAAACGATTAAGATGAAGAAGAAGAAGGCAATACGAAGCAATAACATAACTCAGATTATTACTTATAAGCACCAATTATGATTTGCTTCTTTTAGTATGAAAACTAATCCGGGTAACAACTAAATTTACCGTGCCACCCTAAAACTTAAGAAATAAACAAAAAAGAACTAAAGGCAACTGGTAATAAAATCTTCATCAACATTACAATTTTCTTCCAGAAATATAAAATTACATGTAAATATAGATACCCAGCAACTCATACTTCACCATTAAGTGAATGTCCCCCCCGCCCCCACATATACATAAAAAAACTCACAGCTTGTGAAAGGACAAATTAACCTAAACAATATGCATCTCAAATAAAGTGAGCAATCAACCCCCTAAAATAAAATTCAGCAATGCTTAATTTTTTGTCTAAAAGAATTTCAATTTTCCTTTAGCCACTGAACCTTTCGCCATCCGCAAACGGCAGGTCGCCTTTTGGGCCCCCACCAAGCCCGAACAATCATCACCAGCTCCAAGAGTCACGGCGAAGTAGAGATAAATAGTGCAAAGGAATGCAAGGAGGGCAAGAGCCGTAAGAAGAAAACGATGTCTCTGAACAAGAGTCGAACAACTTCCAAACTCTTCACCTCTTGAGTGCTGCCTTTTCAGTGAATTAGGCTGAGAAAATGCGGTCTGTGTCTGAGATCTCCGGTGTGGTGAGGTTATAATGCTGTCCAGAGCCATAATTAATCGATTTCGGTGAAGATGCTAAACAGTGAAATCCCTGCAAGTGTTCACAGTTATTGAAGTTGAAATATCAGAAAGCAGATTCGTAAGGCTGGCAATTATTTAAGGGATGGTTATAAACATTAAAATTTAGACCCTGATTTTATCTTAATATGTTATCTACAAATTGTAGGTAAGCCTTAAAGTGTTGCAAACACCCCTGGATTTTTATTCACATTATAAATAATCCTATTAGTAACTTGACTTGCAAAAGAGAAATAAATCTCAAGACGGTATTTTGATATTCAAAAGCACAAATTCTGCCTATGCATTATAGACAACAGAGAACCAAAAAAGATAGCCTTCAAGGGGAAAAATGTCATCTTGGAGACATGAAGAATAACAAAAATATTTTCAAATGACCTCTTCAAACTTTTAGGAGATCATTTTAACTAAATATGACATGACACATTACTTGCATGGATTCAAACTCCATGAATTACAATCATGTTTAAGGCAAGTCAAAGCATCGACGATAGACTAAACACATCTTATTTGACAACCAAGTTCAAAACTTCCCTTGGATAATGGAAGTAAAGAGAGAACTTACCATATCTTTAAATTAGAATGAAATGGTGAGATATCTCCATGCACCATAGAGCTATTCCTAAATTCACAAGGTTTTTAGAACAACTTAAAAGAGGGCCAATGCAATGTAGGAGGATAAGCAACAACAGTTTCAGAAGAAGCAAGGCCAAAAGTTGAAAACAGATGTTCAAATATTTACAAACTTAATTGTGATTAACTTATCCATATCTTCCAGAAAGCATTCATTTTTCTTTTCGACAGCTTCTTAATGTGGATTGAATCGCATAATGTGCGAAACACTATAAGGGTAGCTCAAGGACATCCACAGCCATACCATTTGTAAGCACCAAACGAGAAGCCCTCAATCTAACTATCTAAGCACAATTTCTTTACCAGCACGATTTACATTTTTACTGTTGTTCCTTCAGAGAAATCCAATTCAGAATTCCTTCATCCCCTTTACATTTTTACTGTTGTTCTTTCAGAGAAATCCAATTCAGAATTCCTTCATTCCCTCCGTTTTCTTGCATTCACTCACAGATATCAAGTCAAGATATAGCTGAAAAGGTAATTAATTCATCGGAAAGTAGAGGAAAATCGAACTCTTGAAACCACGCATTCTCAAATTCCCAATCACATCTTTCCAAATTATACAACCGCACCAATATTGTTTTAATATTTCCAGATCCCAATTCACCATAAAAAAGCAGCACAGAAAAACACAGTGGACTCGCATGTGCACATATAGTAAGTGAGAGAGAAATCAGCAGATCTGCACACACATGAAATAAAATCGCAGGCAAGAACTTACAGATGAAGATAAGGAGGAGAAAAGAACCACGCAAAGATTATACGGTCATCGCTTCAAAACCAAGTGATCATTTAACTGCTCTCTCTTGACCAATACTTCAACAAATTTGGCACTTCTTAATTCATGGAATCCAAATATTAAAAATAATTTATGATTTATTTCGACGCGTTTTAACGAAAATTCGGTGGCAGGGACGGGACTGGACAGGCACTTTCCGAGTATGGGATCGAGAGTTTGAAATGGTCCGGGACGATTGTCTATTTTTTTTAATTTTTTTTTTAATTTTTTCAATGCCACCATATATGATTCTTGAATGCGTGATAGACTAGTATGCTTTATAAGCTTATTTGGTATTAAATTGATGTTTTGTACTGACACATGTTCAGGTTTGTTTTCACTATTATGCTTAGGAATTATCATAAATTATTTTATCTTTCCTTTTTTTCTTAACTTAGCATATATTACTCTTACATATTTTATTTAATTCATATATTAGGTGTTATAAATATGTATTCTTTTTATTTTTAAAACTTTATAACTTTTTTATTTGTATTTTATTTTTTATATATAATCTACCAAAATAATCATATTTTAACAATGTTTGATTTGACATTCATATTACATATATAAAACAAATAATAATTTCATCTATATTTATAAATAAAATTAATTTTACTATCAACCCAATTTAAAATACATCAAATAACAATATCAATTATTTTATAATAATAATAAAAATATAATTCATTAATACACCATAAAATAATTATTTTATTGTTTTTTCCATAAATTTTGGACAAAAAAATGAAAATTAAGTATTACATAAGATAAATTCTAAAAAAAATTATAAAATATGATTTTTAAATTTAAATAGATTATAAAAAGTTTAATGTTATTATATTATTTAAAATAGTAAATAAAAAAGAATATCATAATTAAATATAATAAAATAATTTTTTATTTCATAAAGTTAAAAAAGAATACATTTCTACTTAAATTCTAAACTATATGAATTTAAAATACTTAAAAAATTAATAGACGTGAGACACTGACTCTGTAAATATAAAATATAATCACAATACAATAAAACTTGTTTGGTTTTTTTTAAAACAAATCAAATATATGTAGTTGTAAATAATATTAGTTTTATATATATAATTTTAAATATATAATTAAAAATATTTTTTTTGACAAATTTAGTGTAAAATTATGGACACCATTTGAATTAACTATCATTTTGTAAGTTATTTATTATTGTTGCATATTCATCATACATAATTCCACAATAAAAATATAAATTATTTTAATTTTTATTGTACAAATATTAATATATTTAAGTACTCATGTAGTATACGGGTATTGTACTTGTTTATGATTATTATACAGTGTAATGTTTAAACGGAAAATTATCATATTTATTTAATTTAACAAAAACATATACTAATGTTATGATATGCGATGTTGTTTATGACATTTAAATTTGAACTGAAAAAAAATAAGTGTAGGAAAAAAGGTATTGTATATTTGTATGAAGGATTATAAAATACAATTACAAATCAACAAATAACAAAAACACAATATAACAATAGTTATTTATTATAGTGATTGATAATAAGAAAAATTATAAATAAACTACTATTCGATCATAGGAACATGAACATATGTAAATAAATTATTATAAGTTATATGTATGCATATAATATTAAAAGTATAAGCTAGGTAATTGTATTGTATTTTACAAATTTAATTATTAGTAAAAATAAATAATATTATATTTTTTTAGTTGCATATAAATCCCTATATTAATTACATAATGTAATAAACAATTTAATTTTTAAATTTTTGAGGGAGCATGAACAATTAATTAGTTGACAATAATATCAAATTTACTAAATCTAAAATTACACTACAACCATTCACTATAATCACTAAATCAAAAATTACACTACAACCGTTCACGACATATATTATATAATTGACCCGACAATGTGAATACCAACATGGGTCAGTATCAAATGATATATTTTTTATATGAATTAATGTGCTTGTAATATGTTGTTTGTAAGCTATTAAACATCATATATGTATGATGTTACGAGAAAGAAAGTGTATTAAAGATAAATCACATTCTCATTTTATAAATTCAAACAAAATGAAAACAATAGAGATATTATAATATAAACGACATAAATTTACAAAAGTACAGCCACCAGCTGAATACAAACAGCTCACAGCTGAATACAAACAACCAATAGCTGAATAAAGTGGGAAGAGAATCAAAAGACCGCATAGAGCCAACCCCAACGAGGTAATACTTACTGACACGAAAACAATAGCACAAAAACTACTAAACTAAAAAGACCCAACATGGTAATACCCGAGTGTCTGATCCCAACAGGATAATAAGTTGACACTCGGGCTCACAGGGGCCAACGGCCCAAACCAAAAACACAAGTCCTAATACAACACAACACATACAACACAAACAGACAAAATAATACGCAATAACGCCCTTCCCCAGCAAATAAAACGAATCGAAACCAGTAGAGAAGCAATCAATCCAAGTAAGATCTGAAGTCCTAGGTCCAACTTCCGAAACTGCTGCCGAACGCCTATACAAAAGCTAAACCTAGATCCCGAGACTAACCCGATTGAACCCACCTTCGACCGATAGGACAGCCAGCCGTCACCCGGCGACCGGGCCCATCCAGTTCCTAACACCAAAGAACCGAAGGGAAAAAGGTTGCCTGTTCCTACTACTCCTGCGTCCCGACAAATGAGACGCCGGAGTCTCTTGCCATCCGCCGACCAAAACATCTCTCAACATCCAGCCGGCCGCTGATAACTCGAGCTCAAGCCCCAAAAGCCCAAACCCAGAAGCCCATCTTGAATGCGACCGATGAACCTCCAAGCTCTGACCCAAAGAAACAGAGTGGCAAACCTACCAATCGAAGCCAATCGGCAGTTACAGAGTGAAGCTGCCAGCCAACGACTGAGGCTCACCATCCCAGCCGCACTTTGCCGTCGACCATCAAAAGAACGCCAGAGGACCGCCGCAGCGAAGATTCCGGTAAAATTGGCTACCCGCCACACCTTCCCGGCACTAAAAATGGCGAAGACCGAAACTTGGGACGGAGCCACCATCTTTCCGGGGCAGAAGAACCCCTCCCAACGGCGTATCTCTTGATAACTGCCACGACTTCCTGCGCTTCCCTAGAGTGCCCGACAAGCCCCAGCTAAGCAACCATTGCAGAATTTGAAGAGGAATGATGTCGGGGATGGCCGAGCGGTCTTAGGCAACCATTGGCCCAAGCCGCGCCTTCGCCGAAGAAGGCTAATCGGCGGCGATTTGAAGGATCGAGGCTAGGTTTTCGAGAGAAAAGAAGGTTCGAGAGAAAGAGAATAATATGCGAAATGAGTTATTCTGTTTGTCAATTAATGAGTGTATAAAAAAAATCATATATATAACCTGAGATAATTTTTTATAAATGTTATTACAAATTTTTAAAAATTTATTTATAATTTAATTTGGGTAATCATGTCAAAATTATTATAATAATAAAAATAAATCTTATGCTTTTAAATAAAATTAATAAACCTTTGTGGAGATTGTTTCTATAATTACCAAGATTTGTTAAATAATGAAATGTGAAACTCAATTCAATCAATAGATAATTATTAAATATTTTTTCTAAATAAATATTATATCCTAAAAAGATAAAAAATCAAAATTACTTTTGCTAAATTTCATTTTATAGTAACTAAAAGTTATTTGGTGAAAAATTTCGCATACTGTTTATGGTAAATACTTAATTTTGTAATATACTAATAGACTAGTACAACGCCCGTAAATTAAATTGGTATTTTATACAAAAACTAATGAAAAAATTGCGAATTTGGTCCCAAAACTTTTGCTGTTTCCCACATTTGGTCCCAGGCAGTGCAAATTTGGTCCTTTTAGATTTTTCGCTGCTAATTTAGTACCAAACCGTCTGGACTTAACAGTCTTCTTAGTCAACCACGTTAGTCGTTATTTTTAATTTGTTATCTGTTAAAAAATCGAACCGTCACTCTCAAAACACAAAATCGAAAACTCTCTCTCTCTCTCTGTGGCGAAAATTAGGGCAGAGATTTCCATCCAAATTCATCACAAAAATCAACATGAACCCTAGATAAAACTGAAATTAGACGCCGGCAGTGCAACATGCTTCGCTCAGAGGATGCAGCGTGTTCTTCAGACCCGAAATACGGTAACATTTATTTTCGTGATTCTTCTTTCACTCGCATGGCTTTTTTTTTTTCAATTTTGTTAACATTCGACATTTGTTATGTTAGTTTTGTACATTATTTAGGGTTTTCGTTCTGTATATATAGTAGATGATGGAATTCGATAATTTAGGGCTTTTAGGGTTTATTTTATTTGACAATTTAGGGCTTTAGGGTTTATTTTATCAAATAAATTAGGGCCTTAGTGTTTATTCTTTACAATGTAATTGGTAATGTTGGGATTAATGTATGTGGTCTACTAATGACTGATGAGTGATGAGTGGTGGTCCATTGGGATTAATGTATGTGGTCTGGGACTAATGTTTGTGATGACTGAGAGTGGTGGTCCATGAATTTGTTATGTTCCTTTTCAAGTAGACAATTTCAATGGTGGTCCATGAACTTTATTGTTATGTTGTTTATTTTTACAAATGATGGTGGTCCATTGTATCAAATTTTTTATTTGTTTCATGTTATTGAATTGCAGGTGGCAAAGACCCTTAATACCTTACCTTGAAAATACATCATGATGGGGTTATAATGGATGATATAACTCCAGGACGTCAGAGGTATGTGGGAGGAGAGATTAGTGCATTTGATTATGTGGACAAAAGTAAGGTTAACATGGGTGACTTGGGTAGATTCTGTGAGGAGTTTGGTTATGGTGGAGTCAAAAGGTTTTACAGGTTTGACTCCTTCAAAAAGTTCAGGGAGATAACCATGGAAACATATTTGTTATTGGCTATTAATAGGCATAAGAAGAGAGAAGTCCAAATATGGTTAGTTGCTGAGAAAACATGAAATATGAGTGTAGGTGATGGGGGTGTTTCTGTAGGTGATGGAGGTGTTGTTGTAGGTGATGGGGGTGTTCCTGTAGGTGATGGTGATAGGAGTGTGCCTGTAGGTGATGGAGATAAGAGTGTGCTTGAGGATGAGGGTGACCAATCTGTGGATGAGGACTTTTGTGCAAGTAGGGACACTGACAATGGTTTTGATGATATCCTTTTTGAAGAATATGTTGAGGTAGATGAGTATGTGGAGGGGCCTAAACAGAAAGAGAACCAACATGAGGTTGATGATGAAATGTCCACTGACAGTTCCAGTTCCAAGTGCACAGAGGATAGCAGTCATGATGATTTCTCTAGTTGCAGTGACTTAGATGAACAAAATGGGGAAAATGAGGAAACTGAGAGCAATGTCTTCAATGAGAGGCATATTAACAATCCAAAGTTTGAACTTGGCCAGAAGTTTCCCTCCAAGAAGATGTTTAAGCAAGCCATTGCTAACCATGGAGTGCTAACCCACAGAAGCTTGAAGTTTACCAAAAATGATAAAAGAAGAATTTATGTTAGGTGTTATGAAGAGGCAAATGGGTGTCCCTGGGCAATTAATGCCATTTAAGTGACCAATGAAGAAGCCTACATGATAAGATCTTACAATTACAAGCACTCTTGTGCAAGATCTTGGAGAGCGAAGAATTTGACATCAAGATGGATTGCAGACAAATATGAAGAAGCATTCAGAAGTGACCCTCAAAGACCACTCAGGGGTTTCAGGACAGATGCAATTGGTGATCTAAGGTGCCATGTATCCAAGAACAAGGCATTCAGAGCCAAGCAATTTGCTTTGAAGGCAATTGAGGGTGACCATGCAGACCAATATGCCAAAATGTGGGATTATGCTAAAACATTGAGAGAGAAAAATCCTGGAAGCACCATCCTGTTGACACTTACAGATGCCCCTGGTCCTGATGGACAGAAAAAGTTTGAAAAATCTACATTTGCTTAGCCCCATTGAAGGCTGGATTTATTTCTGGATGTAGAAAATTAATTGGGGTTGATGGTTGCCATTTGAAGAGTAGGCATGGTGGAATTCTACTCACAGCTGTTGGGGTAGATCCTTCTAACAATCCATATCTTGTGGCATATGCAGTTGTTGGGGGAGAAACAAAAGATTCTTGGTCCTGGTTTCTGAGGAATCTGAAGTCTGATTTGGATATTGTTAATGAGGAGGAGTGGACCTTTATATCTGACAAACAGAAGGGCCTAATTCCTGCATTTGAAGGTGTGTTTCCCATGTCTCATAACAGATTTTGCGTGAGACATTTACATGCCAACATGCACACAACTGGGTTCAGAGGACTTGCATTTAAGAAGGCTTTATGGAGAGCAGCCAAAGCAACAACAATTCCTGAATGAAAAGGGTTGGAGAAATTGACCCAAAATGCAAGAAATGGCTTGAAGAAAAACCTGCACAACAGTGGTCAAAATCCCACTTCACCACATGTGTTAAATGAGATATGTTGCTGAATAACATAAGTGAGGTCTTCAATAGTTGTATTCTAGAGGCCAGACAGAAACCAATCCTAACCAGGCAGAAAAAGTCAATATGTTATGGACTTTTTTACAAATTCAAAAGGTTTACTTAATTGCAACTAGGGACTTGAACTGACGTGGATCATTTAACTTTGAAGGAATTTTCATAATCCGGCCACGTAATACACAATCATGCCATGTCAGTTTTAAAAATGCCACATCATGTTTTTATCCAGGGTTAGGATAAAAAAAGGACCAACAATTGATGAAATCGACAAATTATAGGACATAAATTGAAAGTAGTCAATATAGGGGTGGTTTTTTGGACTGTGGCCAAATTATAGGACTAATTTTAAAATTTTACCATTTTTTATATTAATTAATGTGCTTGTAATATGTTGTTTGTAAGCTATTAAACATCATATATGTATGATGTTACGATAAAGAAAGTGTATTAAAAATAAATCACATTCTCATGTTATAAATTCAAACAAAATGAAACAAAATCATATATATAACCTGAGATAATTTTTTATAAATGTTANAAAGGTCAGCCACCAGCTGATTACAAACAACTAACAACTGAATACAAGCAGTCAACAATTGAAAAGTGGGAGGACAAGTCAAAAGACTGCCTAGATAACCGACCCCAACAGGGTAAAACACGGGAACAACTAAAAACTACACACAAAAGCTCCAGCAGGGTAATACTCGAGTGTAGGATCCCAACGGGATAATGAGGTTACACTCGGGCAAACTGAGGCCAACGACCCAAACCAAAAACACAACAACCACACAGCCTAAATAACAAACAAAACCACTAAGCTACCAAACAAAACAAAGGCAACAAAACTAAACGAGCCCTTCCAAAGTAGCGACACCTAACCGAACCAGCGGAAACAAGACGACTGTGAATCCCGCAGCCAGATGTACGGACCTTGAAACTGCCCAAACCACTCGGTTGCCTAACGGTGATGACACTCTAGCCCCGGAACAACACCAAGCTACCCCCACCACGGCCACAACACCAGATTGCCCCGAACAGACAAAAGAGTGCCACGGCCTTAGCCCCAACCTGAAAAATGCCCGGAAGCTGCCCAACGTCACCGCACCGCCGTATCACCACTCCGACCAACACCACTGGCAGGAGAAAGGACGCGACGACCCTTCGACCGAAAAGCCGAGAATAGAGGGGAGACGACCTCGAAACAGCAGCAACGCCCCAATCGCCCAAACCAAGAAGGATGCCAAGTAATTGAGTCGCGTCCTGCCCCTAGAACAGCACCACGGCTCTACCACCATCCAACAGAGAAGCCACCACCCTGAAGTCGCGAATCGGTGCCGGAAAAGACGGATACCTACCGCAACAGACGAGGCCCGACTTCAAGGGAAACAAGTAGCAGAGCGGAAAATTAGGGGCAGGAGCCGAGCGGCCAAGGGCCGGCGACCGCTGACGAAGCTCGGTGGCCACTATGGAAGGCAGACGCCTGTAAATCGGAGGAAGCGACGGGAAGGATTTGGGGGCTAAGGTTTTTTTTAAGAGCGACGCAGCTTAATTTTCGAGCGGAAAATTATTCCTTTATAAATGTTAGTTTTTAAAAATTTATTTAATCATGTCAAAATTATAATAATAATAAAAAAAATCTTATGCTTTTAAATAAAATTAATAAACCTTTGTGGAGATTGTTTCTATAATTACCAATATTTGTTAAATAATGAAATGTGAAACTCAATTCAATCAATAGATAATTATTAAATATTTTTTCTAAATAAATATTAGATCCTAAAAAGGAAAAAAATCAAAATTACTTATGCTAAATTTCATTTTATAGTAACTAAAAGTTATTTGGTGAAAAAATTCGCATACTATTTATGGTAAATACTTAATTTTGTAATATACTAATAGACTAGTACAACGCCCGTGAACTAAACGGGTATTTTATAAAAAAACTAATTATTCAACAAAAGATGCAAATGAATGAAATCTTATTGTCAAATAAAAAAACTACAAATAATTAATGAGAAAGTAATTTGTCGATATTATTTAAAATTCTTTAAAATATTCTTTTGAATTATTATTTATTTTATTAATATATATTTATTGTTTTCAAAATTAAATAGAATAATTTTTTTTATTCAGCAGTTAATAATATCCGTGAACATCAAGGGCGCTTGAAAGTTTTTAATTTTTAATTTTTAATTTGTTATTATATTTGTAGTTTTATCATGTATATTCAGATAATAGTTTCTAAAAACATAACCTATTTAATAGAGTCGCTTTTTTGAAGTAATTTACATGTCAATTCGACATAACTGATTTTCAATATTTGTTTTGTTATTATATTGAAATTTTATCATGTTTATTTAAATAATATTTTCTACAAAATTAAAACTCTTGAAGACATGTTGTAGAAAATCAAGGTATGTAGTTGGTTTACCAAAAGAATAAGAAATTGCAGTGATTCGTAATTATAAAGAATCGATTTTTTATTGTGATAATTATCAAAAAATAATTTTTAAATTTGATACCACTCTATTTATATAGAAAGTCATGCTATTAACTTAATTGCACAATTTGCAACGGGTAGGTATAATTTTGCTTTTTGTTTCAGAAATAATAAAATTATTTTTACTATATTTCCTTTAATAATAAGTCAACCAATTTAATTACAAAGTCAAGGTTACTATTTCGATTATTCCAACAACCTCTTTCAATATACTAATGAGCAATCCGTTAAATGCACGGTGGGGCTTGTTCCTCAAAACCTTTTAAAAACATTATTTTGAATATAATTATTGAAAATTAAACATATCATTATGGAAAGAAAAAAAATACATAGTATTTAAAATAATATATTATTGAACAGTTCTATATGCACAATATTTTTGGTTTGATTTTGTGGCAAACCTTCTTATGCCTAAATTAAAATTTTCAAATATTGGAGTTAGTAACACAGGAGACACTGACATATAACAGGTAATGACTAAAATCGGTTTTCTTCAGGAATAAGATGACATCGGATAAGGATTGGTTCTTACTCGTGTTTATGGTCAATCTGTTTAACCATGTGATTGGATTAAAAAAATTTGAAATTTCGAAGAATTATTCATCGAATTTTCGAACACTCTCTCCTCTCTCCTAAAGTCGACCTTTTCCCCAATTTAACATAAACCCTAATTTGGAGCAATTTCTGCCTTCCCTCAGCAGGGCTTCACCGTGCTGTACGACCAGCTTCCAGAGAGCCGTCGGATGTGGCGGCGGCCTCTTCTTCGAGAGACGCGATGAGTTCTTCCTTGTTTTCGCCTCCTTCTAGATTGTCAAGGTAAGATGTGGTCCGACGATTCCTCGTCGTCTAGGCGGCGGCAGGCTTCCGACGAGGCTGTGTGAGGCGGTTGTGGCTCCAATACATCCCCTCGGTGGTGGTCGGGGCCGAGATTGGGCGGTTCCACTCTCCTCTCTTCTTCCGTTCTTCTCCGCCATTGAGCCAGTTGTTGCAGTGGAGGAGTCGGGTCGAGTCGGGTCTTGTGTCCAGGGCCCGGGTAGTCGGGATTTGGGAGGTGGAGTTTGTGGTGTTTTCTCCGATTGCGGGTATATGGGTTGTCTACCTGGGCGAGGGTCACGGTCCTTTAGTCTTGAACCTGGTTAGGCGATTTATCTGCAGTTTCTGGCTTTGAGGCTTGGACTAGGTCTCTGTCCGTATAGGTGACCGCCCGTAGGTGTCGGCGTCATTGGTGTTCTGTTTGGTTTAGTTGTTGTGGGAAGGGTTATAGTTTATTTATCTTGTTGTGTTTGTGTTCGTGTTGTGTTGTAAGAGTGCGTTTGTGTTTTTTTCCCCGATTTTAGTTTTTAGGAGTGTTGACTCTCCCGTTGGGGAGTGTTGATTCTCCCGTTGGGGAGTGTTAGATTCTTCCATTGGGGAGTTTGTATTCTCTCGTTGGGGAGTTTTTGTGTGTTTGTTGTGTTGTGTCGTGGTATTTAGGCTACCTTTGGATGTTGGTAGGCCTCTCCTTTTCCGGCTAGTGAGCCGGTTGTAAGTATGTGTTTTAGTAATAAATCTATCGTTTGAAGAAAAAAAAAAAGAAGTGAAATTTCTAATTCGAACCAAACAAAGCGGGATTATTTGAAAAATTTTTAAAATAAAATTATCATTAAATTGATATAATTATATTTTGTCGAAAGTGATATATGAAATTAACTTGTGTAAAAGACATAAAACATATATGTTTAAATATTAAAAATACCTAAAATATTATATAACATATGTAAAAATACCTAAGATATTCTATATTATTTTTGAAAATGCATCAAGTCACTTAAATTTTTTTCTAAAATATTTTGGAAGAAAAATAAGTACATGTGTAGTAAATTTGTCCAAGCAACATATTAAAAAATATCTAAAATATTATATGCATAAATAATATGTATTACAACCTAAAAATATTAGTAGTTAGATAGTATTGTCATTGAATGTTATGATTGAAGAGTTCTAGTTAGAGTATCTATTTTATAATAAAAGGCGTTACCTCAAAATATTGCGTTTGTTTTTTTAAATAATTTTGTTGATTTACGATTGTTAATGTACAAAAAATAATGAAAATAAATAAAATTTCAAAAGGGTATTGTGGTTAGATAAATTTTGAATTTTTTCGAATGCTTTTCTGGAAAACTTAACAAAATTTCACCTGATTGATTTTAAAAAATTTGTGCTAAAACAAACTATCCCTATGAATTGGATTCTTTCCAAAATCTTAGAAAGTGTTGTAGTTAGATAAATATGGACACCCAAATGACCTGCGATTTATACCATCCATTTAAAACTATTATTTAAAATATGTCTGAAAACAACTAAATTGTAAGAAAGTGTTGTAGTTTGAAAACATTATGATTGAAAAGTCAACTCTTAGGACAAATAATTTTATTTGTTTTGTCGATATAATCTTTTCAATGCTTGGAATAAATATATAATATTTGGTTTGACGATAAATAAATTAAACATAATAAGAGAGTTTTCATACTAAAAAATCATATAATTTAAATCTAAGGTATGATTGACTTATTAATTTGGAATAAACATTTTTTAGATATGATATGTTTTAACAATCACATTCTGTGGCAATTAGTTTCAATGATAATGAAATAACCATAAAAGTCTACCTACAAAAAATTGCCTAAAAACTATACAACCAATTATATAAAGTGTTGTGCATTAGTTGATTAATTCGATTTAAGCTAAACCAAAATAGAGTTCTCTACAGAGACTGGAAATGAGTCCATAATTAATCTGAAACCGAACGTTTTTCATTTTTGTATACACCAAATAATAGAAAGAATTTGCATAATATGGGATTATTCCAAACTTTAAAAAAATTTCCTAGTTAGATAAATATGAAAACAAAAAAAGATTTTTTTTACCAAAAATTCACATAATATGGTTTTTTTTTTCCCAAATTTTAAAAAGATTTTTTCTTAGTTAGATAAATATGGACAACAAATCTCAATAGATAGAGATTTGGCCATATTTTTAATCTATTTTTTTTTTTTTCTAAAATGAAATTGTGCTTTTAGCTGGAATTTTTAAATTTTTTTAATAGAAATCCATTATCAGTAAAAACAAAAATTTTAGGCGTTATTTTACATACTATTTCAGCTAAATATTTTACCTTTTTATAGATTAATATATATAGGTTTAAATCCTGATTTTTGGTTAATTAGTAGAATTTTATTTTTCTATGATTGTATGCAGTAAAATAATTTATTTCAATCAAATAAGTCATATATTATTTTAAATAAAGAATATAAACCACCAGAATAATAAAAAGAAAGTTAGGAGTTATGTTAGAAAATATTGTAATTTATTATTATTTATGAAAAGACAATCAATATATTTAAACACCGAATTCATCAATATAAATAATTCATGTAGGATTGGAGTTTATCAATATTTATTATAACATCCAATATTTTCAGAAAAAAATCTTGTTTGATTTACCACATAACTTGAATGGGAAAAAATTCTGAATATCCATTACTATTGGGATATCTCAAATTTAAAATCTCATTTTTTCAAAGTCAATATCTCATAATTTTTTCAATAAGAATCTCCGAATTTTTTACTAAAAAAATAGAATACAAATTTTGGTAAAATAAAAAATAAAAAATGATATAGACGGTTTTAAAATTAATTTGTATTTGGATTTGATATTTAAAATAATATGTATTTGAATTTGTTTTCATAAATAATTGACACATTGACATAAGAATCTCCAAATTTGTTAAGAAAAAGAAAAGGATTACTATGGGATTCATATATAAGAAATGAATTATAATTAGTTTTGTTTCATAAATAATTGGAAACGAAAATCCGGCTAAATTATCTAACAATATGATTAATTTGATTCCTAAAGGTTCACATGTGTATTTTTCGAAATTTCCACTAATAGTAAGTCATAAAATCATTTATATTTTTTCGTCAAACTTACTATAAAGGTATTTTTCCAACAACTTTTTGATATAGATATAGATATAGACAGGTACAGTACTCGTGCGATGCACAAAGACTTTATTATTTTCGTAAAATTTTGCATTGAAATTGTATAATAGAGGAATGATCATGACATTAATAAATATAATGAAAACGATATAT